GCGGATAATTATCGCATTTTGTTGCGGGGTCAGAGGCAACGGCTCCAACCAAGTCAGCGGATAAACGGCTAGCGTGAAGGTCCGCTCTTCCCTGGTGCAATTGTTTGGGGTGGCCATTAGCGCTACAGTGTGTAATACCTATGATTGACGCCGCTGCCTACTTAGCAGCAATGAGTGGTGTGTTTGTGTGCATGTGTTTCTGCATACCGGGTAGGGGGTCAGCTGAGGGGATTGATCGGGGTCTCCGTTGTTGCCAAATGCAGGGGTGAGGGTGTATTGGCGCGTAGACAATGGGGCCTGAGCCAGCCAGTGAAAGGCCCATTCTGCCGATCCCTGTTAGCTGTCTATTATCCACGGTCTCCAGGGGGCTGCTAAATAGAGGGCATGTGTTAGGCAGACATTTATCATGTAATTACAGCACTAGGATCCGTTTCTGATGGCGTGTGATGATTACTAATAATTACTGTGCATTTCACGCCTTCGAAAGGGCCCAGATGGGGTCCCAGGGCGTCAATACAAAGAATAGAAGGGCAGGATAGAGGTGAATGCAAAGAAATGGACAGATGACGAGGAAAAGAAGGATCATGTCTCGCCTTTACCATTTAGAAGCGTTAATTAACTAAATGAATTGAACCATATGTGTCCAAATGACAATTAAGTATAGTAAATAGGTTGTGAGCGGATAGGAAGTTTTAAAAATGACCCATGTATGATTATTAGATCACCTCCTCCAGCCCTGCAGAGAAACAAAATTAATAGACAGAAAATATAATTTATTGCTATCTTGTTACAGTGACTAATGGAAAGAATATACTGCCATCATGTGGCCTAGTTATGTAACAGGAGAAGCAGAGTGAACGAATGAATAGTAGAGATAAAGCGTATTATTGAACTGGCCAAATTTGACAAACCTTTTCTAAAACTCCATCATCCTTTGTATTGCATGTTTTTTTTTGTTTTTTTTTAATGAAATCATCTCTGCATGCTGATTGTAATGGTTCTGCATTATTCTGTCCATACCTCTGTGACAAAATAGGAATACGTTCAAGGAGATGTACCACAAGTCTGTTTTTACGAATAGAAATATACAAACATTAATTCACAGGGAAATTACTTGTACGTTACTAATAAGCGCTTTTCTACAGTTAAAATACAACAATGCTAGTGGGTTAGGCAATGATATATGTAGCTCTATTGAAAAAAAAAATAGATGAAAGTGAAAAGATTCAAGCCAGTGGGACAGATTTAAAGAATTTCTCCAAGATGGAGGTTTAAATATATAAGACAAACACCCTCTTATGAAAGCAGCCATCTTTGTTGGTGTCAGTACAGGAGAAAGGGCCAGTGCTCTCACACGCAGCATCTGAAATACAGCAGTCTACTGTAGTACTGTATTTCTGCCCTCCACACGATTCTGGATAAATCAGGCCAGTCAAACTGCCACTGATATGATATAACGCGAATAAAACAATGGTTTAGGGTCGGCATGTGTGTGGGGTGCAAGTGATGTCTGTAGAACCAGAATTTCAAAATGAAAGAAGAGATATTATTGAACTAAATGGAATTCTTATATCAACACTGGTATCGAATATCAGTGTTGATCCATTAAAACTCTCTGGATCGGTGGCCATGCTGTAAATATTTTTGTTCTTTATCTGCAATACACAAATGCTGAGCCAGCTCACGAGCCGAGACCCAATCTGGCAACCCACTGCCATGCATTACATATTGTGTGTGTGTGTATGTGTGTGTGAGCATGTGTGTGTGTGTGTGTATGAGAGACAGCATGTGTGTGTGTGTGTGTGTGTATGAGAGCATGTGTGTGTGTGTGTGTGTGTATGAGAGAGAGCATGTGTGTGAGCATGTGTGTGTGCGTGAACACTGTGTGAAGACCCTGGCTGCATCCAAATTCATACAAAAACAAAATGTAATTTTTATTTTATTTTAGAAGTTTTATGTCTTGCAGATTTTTTTCTAGATCATGAAATGTCTTGTTTTTTTAAATAGTTAAGTGCCAAACCTCAGTCTAAACCTTTTTGAGTAAAGTTTTTTGATTGTTGAATGAAATTAACTTTTTTCCTCATTCTTCCTGGTTCTACCTTCTCCTTTTTATTGACTTTGGTGGCATGTTTTGTTTTTTATCAATGTAGAATTTTAAAAGAAATGTATTCAACTTGACCAAAGCTGTAGAGACCATGTCCCCTAAAAGGGTTAGGGTTAGGTTTAGCAACACTGCTACACTGCCTCTTGGGTGAGCTAACCCCACCCCCTCTGTGATTTCTCTCCTAAGATAAACATTTGGTCCACTTCTTAATTGAAGTGAATTATGAAGTGACCCATTAAGGAGGAGCTCAAACGAAGGAAAGAAGCGATGGAGAGAGAGGACTTCAGATCAGAATCACACTAGACACAAGACACTCTCCTCTCCGGGCATACTGTGGCTGCATTATGTTTAATCTAGAACACCCTGCCTATTTAATGATGGGGAAACACTGAAGAGGAGGACTTGTTCTTTCTACTGAACTCACTGTTTTGGAGACAGAACTGAACCAGGGTGCTGTTACCGCTCATAATTTGCCTTTCACAAAGTTTGCTCTTGCCTCTGCACATGTATGCTGTATACGGAGTTTCAATAAGACAAACCAAATCAAATACAAAATTTGATTAATCAATATGTAGGAGAGGATCATAATATATTTTCCTCCCAGATCGCCCAGCTCTGTGAATTACGAAAGCCCACAATGTAACTTCAGCATAGGGCCACAAGAAGACCATGGGATTTTGTAGCATCACATTGGTATTTTGAGATGAATAGATAAAAAACAAATCGATAAAGTATCTATCTTTACGCAGTTATGTGACAGAAAGTTGACGAAAATGCGCCCTCAGAGGACAACAAGACGTCCACCTGGCCGCAGTGAAACCCAATGAGAGGCGACACAAAGGCCATCTGCGTGGACGGAGCCGCGAAGGGACAAGGTCAGTGTGAGGAGGATGAACACCGTCCTGTTTAACAGAAACAAATTGCTCTCCACTTCCCAGTGACACAGATAGCGGACCATTTGTACCTAGTGGCCTTTGTAGGGAACAACAGAAAGGAAATGTACTCATCCTGGCAGGGTATAAAGTTCGGGGCTTTTTGTTACAGCCCAGTTACCTTAGCCTCCGTGCCCACCCTCTTGAACAAGCACAGCGGTTAAGTAGTTCAGGTGCCTGCTACATTCTGTTAGATTAAAGGTCCCTGCTTCTGGCTCGACTTGAATTGCCTCAGCTGGACTTTGGAGGTGGGAGGGGGTGCCGGGGGGACCGTCGGAGATGTATAACCGCGCGGATGGTGAATGGCCGTCTTGTGCGTGCTCACAGAGGCGCATCGCTTTGAGCCGGCCGACCAGCTTCACTCTACACGGTCAACCCCAAAGAACGTCTATTGCACAGGATGCCTAATAAGGCTTTGGGAGTCCATACCCACGTTTTGCTTGTGAACACTGTGCATCCATGACATTTCTTTGGTGAGTTGAAGAGGCATGAAAGAAAACTTGCAATTGCTCCTATAGAAATGATACACAAAGCACACAGGGTTGGAGGGCGAGGGGGGTGGATGTAACAGAGCGCCAACATGCACCTGTGCTGCCCACTCACTTACAGACAGCAGCAATGCAGGCGACCCCCAGAGGAGAGCCAACAAAAGGTGATTGACAAGTGGCACAAGGATAACTTACACGGCTATTACAGAATGTGAATTATTTTGTTAATTTAAGGAGAAACATATGTGTGTGTGTGTATATATATATATATATATATATATATATATATATATAAATACATAACAGTTGTTTTTTTATTGACTTTATAATTTATTTATTGAGTTTGAGTTTTAAAGTAAACATACATGTTGGAGTCAACCTAGAGAAGTAGCCAATAAAAACCATCAATGCAAGTAAATAAATATAAATGCTGCTTGCTACAGTAAAGAGAGTCATTATGAGTATATTTTAAAGTGATCCAGTTCAATATATGGGCCACTATATGATATATAATATAGTAGAGTAAGTATATAATGTTTATTTAACAAGCACATTTCACAGACCAAGGTCATTTCAAGTGCTTTATAATGTTTTGGAGTGGCAAAATGTACTGCGATTATTTGTGTACTATACAAATAAACTTGCCTTGCAAGATATTTTCAATTCACTCCACACGCAGCGATGACAGAAGCGAGACGCTGGACACACACATTGAGGCCTCCAATCATCATCATCCATTCACTCTCTCATTACACACATACTGTACCTATTGTACATGTTTTAAGAGGAAGGAGACACTGGAGCACCTGGAGGAAACCTACACAGATACAGGGAGCGGTTTCCCCTACCACTAGACACTGTACAATAGGCCTGGAATGTGCCTCCTGTATGGCTCCCGTCAATGTGGAGTGAAAGGCCCACAACTGTAAAGCGCTTTATGAATAAAGATTTATTTACTACTTACTGACATGCAAACTCCACTCTCTGGTCCAACCCAGGACCTTTTTGATGTGAACCATAAGCGCTAACCACAAACAAAGGCTTTTGACTTTTATAGGATTTAAAATTATTTGAAAATGGATTGTTGAAAAATCTTTCCAACTTCCTGCTTCTGTTTGCAATATGTGGGTCTCTGACTATCTCATAATATCAATAATTAAATGAAAACAAAATTCTATATTCAAAAATCAAAATTGTATCTAATTAAAAACACTAATACTAATACTTATCTAAATCTGTTTCAAATACAAGTTTCTTATAATAAAGGCTTTTGGATCAGAGTCACCGAGTTTATGAAATACCAGATTTATCCTTTGATTTAAAACGGCCTCATCCGTCCTTACTCACCATGGTTCTTTGCCGTCACGTCTTCTTCCTGCTCAAATTGGAGTTGGACAAGGCTGAGTGCACAACAGGGCCTCAGCATGTCTGACTTCCTCACCGCCGTTCCCAAGCAGACAGGTCAAGTACGTAAGGTCACAGTCCAAACCCCACCGTCGGGAGGGGATTCCGACCTGCCCGGAGAGAGGACAGACACATTTACATCACTTCCCTATGAGTCAGTTAAGCTACAACATTAACATAATTTAAGCTAAATTTAAGAGATGCTTTTTTTTGTCCCACAGGGCAGAAATTTTGCATCACCAGTTACAGAACAGTAGGAATGAGGAGCACACAGCACAAGACGAATTAACAAAAACGCTATACAATAATAAAATAAAAACTCTAACTTTAACATAATAAAGAAACAAGTATAAAATCTCTATCTTTAGCATAATAAGGAAGCAATAATAAGATACCGTATATTCTAGTCTAGTGCAAGAAATATATAGTTGTATGTTTATATCTGTACATGTTAGCAGCATGAGGGTATGGGGCACAGTGGCTAAGCAAGGTGACAGTGGACACATGTGGTTCTGTATTGCACATTCACACATTATTCCACTTATTGCGCAGTGTTTTTGAGTCCTCACTGTTTGTTGTACAGTCTTATCATCTTTTCACATTTCAACACATTTCAATTCAATTTGATTCAATTTATTCTTGTATAGCCCTAAATGACAACTGTAGTGATCTCGGAGGACTTTACAAAACTGTTGAATTCACCAAACACAGATCAGAGAATCAACAGTTCAAACACAAGAAATGCAACAATAAAATAAATAGAGCCATTGGTCCATAAGAGGCGGATGACCAATGTCCATAAATGTTGATAAATATCCATAAATGCACTCAACTGCATTATGGATGTAACAAAAACACCTGTAAATCTTAGCCCCGCTTCATCACTTCACAGCTCTTCTCCGTGTGGCATAAACGTTGAGTAATCCACATCTTAATCTTGTGCCATACTCTGTGCAGCTTAAAGAAACCGATACTCCTGTGACTCTTCAGCCACTGATTGTGTTACCTTTACAATTTGGCTGTGCCTCCTTCCTGTTGTGTACTAGAGGAATGCCCTATAAAAATATCCGCATGTGGGTTCCACCTGCAGAGGCAGTGGCATGGAGGATGCAGCGGCGGAGAAGCCACCTCCATCTGGGATCTGAAGCAGTTGAACTTGTATAAAGTTTCAGCAATAACAACTATGCTTTCAACAGCCGTGTGTTTCTGGAGTTAGACTTTATTTTAAAGGGTTTTTTCTACATTTGGCAGAAAATAAAAGAGTATAAATGTGTACTAAATGTTTGCCCAGTATGTTTTAACCTACAAGTCAGGTCCTACAGGTTTAACATAGTAATTATTATAAAATAAGATATCTTTATTTTGTTCCATCACAAAGGTTTTTGTGAACTATGAAGATCCATCCATCCATTTTCTTCCCCTTAATCCATTTCTGGGTCGGGGGGGTGGCAGTCAGAGCTGCAGCCAGTTCACAGAGCACCAGCCCCTCACTGATCCTCCTGAGTCCACAGGAGCTGAGATCTTTCAGTGGGGGCTTCAGGCAAAGTGGGGTTAAGTGTCTTGCCCAAGGACACAATGACAGCAGTCATCAGTGGGAGTCGTGAAGTAGGTCTTATAGTGGGCTCGAACCCACGACCTTCAGGCCCAAAGGCCAATGCTCTACCAACTGAGCTACTGTCGCCCCCAACTATTAACTATGAAGATCGATTGTTTAAATCTCCATTACATTATTTTGCATTTAAGGTCCAGAAACAGAAGATTATCTCCATAACACTGGACATTTTATGTTTGACTCTACAGACAAAGGCGTATTCATGTGAAGGACTGGTTGTTGTTGTCAGCCACTCAACATATTTCTTTTCTGCTGCTAAATTCTGTTTCATTCTGTGCAGGAGGAGGCAATTTATCTGTCATGGCTTCAAACAGGGGCGCCCCTCCTGGCCCACTCTACTGACAGCAGTCTTATTAGCCAAAGGCCACATGAATTTACCCACTGTTCAACCCCGGGGCCAGGCCTGCTTCTTTACAATAGCGCCAATGACGCTAAGACTTCTTTTCAGTTATTAATTTGATAAATATATTAATTATGACTTGGAGATGACAGTCCCATCAGATTGTCAGGCGCCCACTCGTGGCCCCCACCTCCCACTTTGGTGATAAGTTTTCTCAGGTTTCCAAAGCTGTCATCCCCAGAGCTGCATTTGTTATCAGCACTCAGTCCATTCTCAGGATAATTTCCTGTGTGTCATAATTAAATGGTGGTCCTCTGATGCTGAATCACTCATTTTTCAAGCAGGAAACTCAGACTGTGGCTTTTCTGAGAAAGCTTTAGCACAACGATATATTCAATAACCTCCATTGTTTTCCTTTTTTATTAATAAAAAACAGAACATAAACGTAAAAACACATACACAAATACATATGCGGCTCTTTTTTTTTTATCTGTGTTTTCATAGTTTTTTTTATCCCTGCAAAGAATAACATGCGTATAATTATTATTAGCATTATAAGAAAACATTGCCAGAGGTATACTGTAGTGTAGTATATGTAGTATAGCAGACTAGGTTGCTCCCTGGAAGCTGTGTTATGTTAGCTCCATATGAACCAGCTCAGACTCTGAGGAGCACAGGGACTGGCCTCCTGCTGAGACTGAGGAGCACAGGGACTGGCCTCCTCCTGGGACTCTAAGGAGCACAGGGACTGAAAATGTAAAGCAGGCTTCTACACTGAAAATGTTCTATTTAGTTTTTTGTACTTTTTTATGGGGCCATAAGGTTGTATACAAGCCATGCCACGTGTACATTTTTGTCTTGTTAAAGTGATAGTCTGTAACTCAAAATTAATTACAAATTTTAGGAAATGTGTTAAATTGACCTCCTGGCCTTAAATGTTGATATAAAATAAGTCATTTTATTAATTCTAATATTACAGGTAAGTACCGCCTTCACTTCTTTTAGCTATAGCTCAGAATCCACGATGCCGTCCACGTTGACCAATCGAGTCATGCCAAGGGCTGTCAATCATCGGCGCTGATGTTCGTATATGCGCGCATGCTCCGGATCAAGCCTCTATTAGGCTCTGGAAATACATGAAAACTGAACAAAGAATTCTGAACATCCGCGCTGAGGTACTTATGTATATACTGAACCTATATCCATAATCAGATCCTCTGCAGATGTGTTCTATAATGTGCAATTCATGATATTACCTTCTTCCGGGTTTGCCGCGATCGCTTTTTTTGTGCATAAAAACATTATTTTTTTCATTAAAACGTTAACAAATAAATTTGAAAACCTCAGTGCACGTGTATTAATAATGTATATGTAAAATGTGTTCTCTGATTAACATTTAAAAGTGTTACGGAAACGTAGGCGTAGACCAATCAGAAAGGAAGGGGGAGGGAGCTTGCGTTGTTATTTTCAAATCAAGTACCTCTCTGTCTCTCTTTCTGACAAACTCTAGACAATCACTTTAAATGTAAATATTTGTAGTAATGTTTCTTGCTCAAATGTTTAGATATTTACTAGATATTAGTAGATACCAGAGGTGGGACAAAGTCATTGTTTAGCAAGTCACAAGTCAGTCTCAATTCATTGCCCTCAAGTCCCGAGTCAAGTCACGAGTCAAGACAGGCAAGTCCCGAGTCGAGTCCAAGTCAAAGGCCAACAAATCTCAAGTCAGTCCCAAGTCCTACGGTTTGACTTTCGAGTCCTCTCGAGTCTTTTTGACCGCGATTTGTTTCTTGTTGGTCTCCACGTACTTAGGAATCGTTTTGCTGGTGCATTCTCGTTGGTCTCTGACCCATGGACTAACAGTTTGTTCCATGTGGTTGGCTGCTGGTAAATCAAAACTATGTTGTGCCAGATGCAGGCTCAGTTACACATGCACAGACCACACATAAAATCAGAGCAGTCCGTGTCAACATACTTTTTATCTTTGGGGTTTTTAATGGGAAGTAGCAAGTGCAGCATATATGAATATGAGTATTGGGCTAGGACCTGTATCTATATAATCAGTTTAATGTCCATAGTGGTTATTGTTCCAAAGGACTGAAGGGACCAATGGAGGGGAAGGAACCTGGCCTGTATGAACTGGGCCAGCATTAGTAATATCTCATAATTACCAATATATCATTACATAATAAAATGTCTCATATAAATTAATTCAATCAGTCAAAGTACTGATTCTCATATCAATGAACCATAAACAATAGTGGAAATATTAATCTAGCTTAGTGCACATAATCAAAACAACTATCTAATGTATGCAAACTTTAGCAGGAGGAGCACAGCAAAAACATACTCATAATAATAGGCCTCGGCGCCCACACAGAAAAATATAAGAAAGAGCCAACAGAGCAGCGCAGGCTAGCGCTAGTTTGACTCGCCAGTTCCTCTTTAAAACACGGCACACAGTGTGACAACTGCGTCGATTCAATTGTATGAGGCGCCTGTAGTGAAAGCATATCAATTACGGTTTGTAGAACAAAATATGACGTTAGGTCGCGATAAATACCTGCAGCTCGCTCATTTCCAGCTCCCCTAGACAACACACCCACCGGTGAATGCAGTGCGCTTGTTTAGGGAAGTGTTGCAGCGCGAACTGCGGGGAACTCACGTTCGAACTCTTGCGCGAGCGCTACAACTACCGCGAGGCTTTGTTTCTTCAGAGACGGCATAGATAGAAAGAGAGATGCGGAGAAAGGTAAAAATGGCCCGGGTTACGCAAGTCTTTGCAAGTCAATTGGCGCAAGTCCAAGTGAAAGTCAGAGTCATTGATGTTAAAGTCCAAGTCGAGTTGCAAGTCTTTTTATATTTGGTCAAGTCGAGTCTAAAGTCATCAAAATCATGACTCGAGTCTGACTCGAGTCCAAGTCACATGACTCGAGTCCACACCTCTGGTAGATACTTTGATACTTTTGACTACCATAACTGTGGTTATGATGTTATTGTTTTGTTTCTTGTTTTGCCCAATGTATGAATTGTGAAACGTCCTATGCCTTGCTCTGTGCTCACTTTTGTATGCACTTTCCATCATCATTCTGTTCACCATCATAATTCCTTGTGCCATCTGCCCATCATCTTGGCGGCTCTCTTTGAAGGTCCTCTGTGGTTGGTATATGGAAAGGTCCACTGAGATGTAAGATATGTTCTCATGTAAAGTCTCCCGCTTCCATCTGCCTGTATGGCACTGGGTCTTGTCTAACAGCCGTCTGGACTTTAAACTCGAGTGATAACTTAATTTCTTTTCATGTCAACACCAAAGCTGAGGCCAAGAGGAAACTGTGCCTCCTTTGTGCTTCTGTCACATCGACCTGCTCAAGAATGACAAATATTTAAGTGGCTTTGATGTCCCTGATCTTGTCCAACTGCTCTGATGATCTAAAAGCACTTGAGCTTCGATTTTTTTCCCCGTTCCCTGTAACTTTACTACTCTACCATGTCCACTGTCCGGCCCTGTCCGACAAAGTCACCCCCACTCTGCCTATAACCCCTCTATGAGTCTGTGTCAATGCCAAGCTTATGTTTGAGCTGAGGCGGGGGTCTGACAGCCGGCTCTATCTGCCAATCTCCCTGTGGATATTGTTGCAGTAGCGGCAGAGTGAGTGCCAGGGTTTGTGGGCTGAGAGATCTCCTCTGTCAGCAGGTTATCATTTCCAATTAAACCCTTTCATCTAAACGTACAGTCAACTCTTTGGCAAGCCAAAAAACCAACCCATAGAAGACATTAATAGTCGATTTCAACACATCTACATTCTTTCTACCTCTGCCCTGTAACAAAGGGTCTTGCAATCTTTTTAAGTATTACGGTTCTAGATTCTTCGGCTATCTTGATCCAAATAGCTCAGTGCCCCGGCCTTCTACGGTGGTCATTTTCTGTTTAGGAGATAAACTTCCATAATTGAGGTGGATTGACACACGGGCATGTCCTGGGTAACATGTGTAGCGGTACAAGGGTCTTTTTGTGTGGGGATGTGCCTGTCAGAGCGCACTGTGGGCAGCACTGTTCCAGACCGTTCAGCAGAAGACATGGAGGAATGCATCAGGCTCAGGAGCGGCTGTCTGCTGAAAAAGCCCTCACAACGTCTCATTGATTGACTGCGGAAACCTTCCGCAGTCAACCATTGGTTTTGTATTTCTTTATTCGTCATTTTTTTTGACACGTTTCACAGCTTTCACATTTTCAACAATTTCCCACAAGTTATACATCAAAACGTTCCACATGTTTGGGAGATTATTGCTATTACTTTTGGGACTTCAGCGATTTCCGGTTTTTCCGCAATCGGACAAAAATCTGCATTGTGGAGAATTCTGCAATGCATTTTAATAGGCCCATGCATTTTAAATAGGACTTCAGCTCTTTCAGACATTTCTACAGTTTCAATGATTCAACAGTTTCAAGGATTCAACAGTTTCAAGGATTTCAGCAGTTTCAAGATTTCAAGAGTTTCAAGGACTTCAACAGTTTCAAGGACTTCAGCAGTTTCAAGGACTTCAGCAGTTTCAAGGACTTCAGTGTAATCATGCAACCTAATAGGGATTTTTCCATGTAAACCAGTATAATGCAACTTAATGGGGTTTTTTCATGTAAACCAGTATAATGCAACTTAATAGGGTTTTTTTCATGTAATGGAACTTAATAGGGGTTTTTACATGTAAACCAGTATAATGGAACTTAATAGGGGTTTTTACATGTAAACCAGTATAATGCAACTTAATAAGGATTTTTACATGTAAACCACTATAATGTAACCTAATAGGGGTTTTTACATGTAAACCAGTATAAAGCAACTTAATAGGGATTTGTACATGTAAACCAGTATAATGCAACCTAATAGGGATTTTTCCATGTAAACCAGTATATGCAACTTAATAGAGATTTTTCCATGTAAACCAGTATAATGCAAACTTAATAGGGATTTTTCCATGTAAACCAGTATAATGCAACCTAATAGGGATTTTTCCATGTAAACCAGTATAATGCAACCTAATAGGGATTTTTCCATGTAAACCAGTATAATGCAACCTAATAGGTTGCATTATACCACCAGACCAAGACCCAAACGAAGACTCAGACCACCACCAGATAATGACCACAGACCAGGTTTCCTTAGTTACAGGAACCAAATTGTTTCAGCGGTGAGGGGATTTTTTCAGTTTCAAGGACACTTTCAATACATTCAGTAGTTTCAAGGATTTCAACTGTTTAAGAATTTAACCAGTTTCAAGGATATCAGGAGGTTCAAGGATTTCAGGAGTTTCCACACTTTCAACAGTTTCCAGTTTAAAAAAAGTTTCAAGGATTTCAGGAGTTTCAATGTTTCAACAGTTTCAAGGATTTCAGGAGTTTAAAGGTTTCAACAATTTCAAGGACTTCAGGAGTTTCAAATATCTATCAAGTATTTTAACAGTTTCAAAGGCCTTTTAAAGGATTTCAAGGATTTTTTTTAGCAGATTTCCACATTAGATCTGTTCCGCAGTCAATCGCAATGGCTTCAGCCATTGCAAGTTTCTAGTTTCCTTTAATAAGAGGCCTGTGGGGCATCCGGATGGACCACTACACACAGATTAACCTCCCCATCGTCTGCAACACTCACTCAGGACTGGGCACTGCACAAATGTACTCAGGTAGGCACTCAGTTACAACATTAGGAGAGCGAGAATGTTGCCAGGAATTTCATATTTAGTCATTAACTTTGTATCTTGATGAATAAATAAAAGTGATTTGTAATCTCTATTATCAAGATACAGGGATATTATTATGCTAAACCTTTTGTTATGTTTGTCTGTGAATAAAAGGCAATGACCTTCGCAGCACCCAAACTCTGACTCGCAGAGCTCAGAGGAATAAAGCTCATTGGTTTTAAGCAATTTCTAAGTACGGGTCCACACCAAAGTTAGCCTCAGTGTAAGCTCAACGTCTATTTTGGCAGTTTGTTCCAGTCTCTTGGTAAAAGCACATTCACAGGGTTACAACACAAAGCAGAAAGTGGACGAGCTGTGTGAAAAGAAGGAGGAATTTGACCAGAATATTATATACGGAACACAATCTCAATGTAAACACCCATTTAAACCAAGGCGGAATAGGGTATCGCACTATTGGAAGTTACTAAATGAGTCGATTAGAAATATGTATTACTGTTTTATATACTAATCTGACTTTTTGAAACGTAGCCCACAGACATACATCCACATCCTCTTTAGGCAGGGCTACAGCAGAGCCAATGCCAGTTTGACTCCATTTCCATCTACTTAATCTTCCTTAATCTGACAAGAATACTTTATTTATTCAAGGAAATGGTCGTAGATTTTGAATTTCAATGACTGGAGAAAGAGAAGGAGAGGAAGGAGAGTGTGTTATCGGGGCACCTGTAGCAGAGGTAAGGTAACACTGTCGGAAACACTAGGCTAATCCTCTTGGTTTTAATGGTTTTGAAATGCTATGAAAGATTAGGTAAACAGGGCATTCGATTAACGGGAAAGAAGTCAATTGGCCATGGAGCGTGAAAAGGCACACAATGCAGCTTTTGAGGGCTGAGGAGTTCATTTGGTTTTTTTGGCGTCAACAAGAAGACGTGGAAGTTTGAAGTTAAAGTATAAACCTGTGTTCAAGTTCTCATCTATTATTATGTTTTGAAATGTAGGAGGGGGTGTCCTTTCATCCGTGAAATGCCTTGGATTTCACCATGTGAGTAGCCGAACCCACCTGAGCGCTCTCCGTTTCCCTGCAGAGAAAGGTCAGGTGGTCCAGGTGCTTGCCCTCCACTTGACTCCTTTCCAACAGACTGTGGCTAAACCAGGTCCACCGCTGACCTGATCAGACTCCATTTTAGCTCTCTCAAGATTGTTTGGTTAATTGTCTTTAAAACATAAATATTTCATTCAGGAAGTTTAGCTGGCCATGAAAATAAGTCATGGTGTAATTCTGGAATGTTATGTTAAGATGACATTGCAGTCTCATCAATGTGCACTATAATAAACTCACAAACAACCTATATGTACAATAAGTCTGAGTATATACGTTTTTTCCTATTCCTACTTTGGGTAGATGGTGCAGCTGAAATGAATTGGATAAAGCATTTTTGATTAAGTATCTCTTCTATCCACAATTTTTATTAGAACATGAAATATGAGCAACTTAATACCAAAAACAATAATGTCTCTGTGAGCCATTAGGAGGGAAAAGTTTTCTGACTGGCAGTTCTAAGCCTGTGATTAATATGGTTATTAGAGTTGCTCCAATTTAACCTCCAAGTCATTGGCAGTGGCTCTTATTGTTGACTGTTAAGACAATTGCTAAGATGTTCAATTGTTAAAGCATTTTCTTATTGTTGAAATGAGAAATAAAACATTTTAAATTTTATTTGTATTAGTTTTATGAATTCCCAGGAATAACACAAAGCAGTACTCGTATCGATATTCGGTATTAGCAAGTACTCAAATTAAGGTACTTGTATCTGTTTTGAATTAAGTGGTATCGGTGCATATATATATATATATATATATAAAAAACCTGATTGGAGTGGCTCTACTATTTACAGTTTAATAAAACTCAGTCCAACAGCTTGTGTTTTTATAATAAAGGGTTGTAAGGCTCCAAATGCCTAGAGAAAATTATTATGGCAGGATTATTATTTTGTCATTAGAATAACTTTCTAAACTTGAAATGTTACAATGTGCACTTTAGGGACTAATGACTTATTATCGTCTTCCATTTGTTACAAAATAAAAGAAGCCTGTTCAGGGGATTTACCTGTTTAACACGACACATGCCAAAATATTTCTGTTTGACCTTTGCCCGAGGCACATCTGAACCGAGCTGTGTTTACTTCTCACCATTCGTCCCTGCAGTCTTCCCCAAATTCGAAATGAAGCATCTGAGGAAAATGACAACGTTTGTGCATTTTAATATAACATGGTTTTGATGCACTGACAGTTAAATAACTAAAAATGAAGCACAGCGGTTCCTAATCCTTGAGTCTATAGCCAGGGGCAGACAACAGCAGCATAAGCTCCCTGGGTCCCTGCTATCACCTGCCTATTTACTGCCATGCCATCCCTACGGCACTCTGAGCCACTCTCCACTTCTTCTCCTAATCCTCTTTAAGGACATTACCTGCTAATATATCCAGTCAGAAGGTATAAAAGGCCAGCTATCTCTTTACCGCCATCGGCACTGGGCTAAATAGGCCATTAATGGAGGAAGGCAAATGGGGGATATTGCAGTTTTGACCCCAAATACCATCCAGATCTCTGATCTGAGCGGCTGTGTGAGGAGAGCTGTGTGCTGGGTCACCAGGGACTAAGGGAGGGAGAGGGAATGATGGTAAAATAGATACTGTAACGTGTTTGGATGTTATTGGTCATGATTTTGTGTAGATTCTTTAAAAGGCATGATGCATAGTGTGCTGAAAGTCTGTCTCCACTACTCACCCTCTTCAGAATTCAATGTTCCAAAACTGGGCCTTTAAAATGATTAACGCAAGATCTAGAATTTTTTATCAGCAATGCAGCTTCACAATCAGTGAGCAATGGTATGTAGCCTATATCTTTAAAGCACTAACTACAATAATGACACTTATTATACTTACTTATGACACAAGGATGAGCATACAGGATGAGGCAGTTTAGTTAGACGCACGCACGCTCCAGCGAGTCAGGATTTAGGATACTGTACGTGGTGAAACTTTACTTTTACAGTAAGATATATATATATATATATATAAATATAAAAAAAAAATAACATACTTTCTTTAGGGTATTTAATGTATTTGTATCTGAAAATTAGACGACAGTGTGTCTTTTAACTAAATTCAAACGTGGCTAACTTACCTCCAGGTGCAGCACGTGTCATTAGCAAACAGGCTCCGCGAGAGGGCAGACAGACACACACTGGCCCCAGCAAATGTGACATAACTGCACTGATAACACAACACTGGGACAGATTCTTTGGTGCTGACCAGTTCTGACCAGTGCTGACCCATGGTGTCCCCTCACAGCAGTGGGCTCCTACCACGGCTCTTTCAGCAGAGAACACAAGGCTGTGAGCGCCCTCTGCTGGCCATCAGCCACAGCGCCTCGCCTGCTCCTCAGCATTCTCAGATCATGGATCTATAATAAAAACGTCTCAGATTCATTGTCATAATCGGTCTTGGCAATTAGTACTTAGCACGTGAAAGCCCAAAACGTAGAAATATAAGAGAGAAAAAATACTACAAAAAAAGACAAACAACACACAAAAATACAATATCTAAACAATTCTGTACAAAGTTTCTATACCGCCAGAGATCAGAAGTGTTCTGCACTGAAACAAGAGATTTAACATTTAACAGATAATATTGTAAGGCGTCAGACATGAACTTGTATTCAGTGTGGGGACATTATTATGAACGAACAGAGAGCTAACACTGGTCCAGCGAGGGACTTACAGTAAAAGTCCATGTCATCGTTGTATGCAACTTCTTATTCTTGCTCCAACTGTACCTGCAACACAAGTGGGTATAGAGCGGTGTGCAATACGCTTTAAACAAAGATATTTTAACTTTATCTGTGGTAGTGTGTGTTTATCTCACAGCATAGATGTATTCCAATGTGGGTTTTTTTACTGCAAATGGCAAATAAAACTGAATCTGAATCTAGATTTAACTTATTTATAGTGACCACGTGACGAACATCTTACAGGCATTTGATTTCTCTCTCCACTAGAGGGAGGCACTGCGTCATGATCCATTATTATAGTAATGGTTGTTTTTATTGTGATAAACAAAAAAGTAAAAGGCATTGTTGAATATTTTTGTTTAACTACAAATGAGGGCATGGTGCGTTGCTATAGGTCTAGAGATTTCAGGTCTGAGTCTGACTTATCCACAGACTGTGGGAGCAAAGCACAGAGCCGTCTGTGAAGGCCACCTCCCGCAGCGCAGCGTGGCGTGGGCATGCGCGTGGGACGCAACATGACAGAATCATGTCAACACCGTGAACACAAGGGCCAACCATCACCATCGGCACTATAGAACCAGTCTGTACCACCATGATGAGCCACTCTGCCACCATAAGTGACCTAAACTTTCTTGGTGTTATTTTTGTGTTCATTAATAAATAAATTAGAAAAACACAAGCACAAAAAACGTACGCCTACACACACTCACAAACACACACACAGACGGAAACACAGACAGACAGACACGGCTGTGACTTTTTCTCGTGTTTATAAATGAAGTACAGAAACATATTCTTCTGAACCCCTTTTGATCTCCAAGCACTCAGTATATACAGACACACACAAAACAATATGTTATCAAACGATTGTAGCATGCCTGGTGGCAGCATGCGTTTGAATATTTAGGCCAGTGCTTCTCAAAGTGGGTCTGGGGCCTTGGGGTCACAACAACACAGCTTGTTCAAAAATTTGGTAAGAATAAAAAACACACTGCTAATACCAACTTCAATCATTTGCATTTATTTACATGTATTTTCAAATTCAAAAACTGCTGTGAATGGAAAAACAGAATTTATTAATACAAAATAGCATATGTATCGTTTGTAAGGAGTCTAAGAGAATGTTCAATCTGCATGGTGGTTAGCAAGAAGGTCCTGGTTTCAAATCCCAGTCAGGACAGGGTCTTTCTGGGTGGAGTTTGCATGTTCTCCCCTTGTCTGCTTAGGTTTCCTCCGGGTACTCTGGTTTCCCCTACCACTAAAAACATGCACAATACATCGGCAGTAGTTCCGACTGAGCATCAACACATGGGCGCTGAACTACGGCGATGGGTCAAATGTCGAGGACAAAATGCCCTAAGAGTAAAAAACAACATGTACCTCAAGACGATGTGAACAGCCGATTACAACTGTGTGCCAGACCAGGGGAGGTGCGTCCAAAAGTGTCTTGTGTAAAAGGCCTGAGTGGAAACCAATTATCTAAACCTCATAAATGACCTGTAATTTGGCTTTCCTAATGCTTGGCTGTGACTTTTGCTCCTTGGTGTTACAGGAAGTGGTCAACAGAAACATATTCTTCTGAACCCTTATCATCCGCAGGCACTCAGGCCCAGTGTAATTCATCACTGCTGCAGCTTTCTGCTTGTGCCGGGACTGTGATAAGAAAGCTCTCTTTGAGTTGAATCTGTGGGGGTTGTTTCTGACAAATGAAAGAGATGTGACAAGTAATGGCTTTACCTCGCACCTCACTTTGGCTGAATGATTTTTCTGATTCAAGGTGTCAGTTGTGGGCAGGTGGGCTCCGTCTAACAGTGGGGAGATATTTAAGAGTACAATCATGTGGTTTCATTTTCCGGGTTCTCCTGCTGCAAAAACATTGTGTCCTTGATCATATGCAACTGTTTGATTCTAAAGACGCTGTTGATTTTACTCAAAAGTTTCTCAATCGCTTTTTTATTCTCATGTTATTTTACTTTTTCTCAACACTTTTCTCAAAACAACAATCTCACCTACTTCCTGCTGTAGTATCTAAACAAACATGTTTAAAACCTCACGGCCTTTGAAATCATGTATGAAAATAGTTGAAAATGTGAAAATTAAAACAAAGGGACTCGTTAGCACCTCACAACCAGCAGGGGGTGAATAACACATGGAGAGAGTATCTACAGTCGCGGTATGGTTTGGTGAAGCCGAGGGCCATTCATCACCACTTGCGGATATATGTTACCTTTTTTAAATTGTTATTCATTGAACTTCCCACTGAAATCCAGTTTGTCTCCTTAGAGTTAGCCATTGTGGAGTTCAATGTTGGGGCAAAATAAATATATGTTTTTTTTATTAATTGTCAACTTTAAATAACCATGATTAATGTGTGTATGGTTGTGTTTTGTGCAATGACTTTGCAGTCTGTAGTTTTTTCTAAACATAAACATAAGAAAAGGATGGGTCTGTATAACAGTCAGCACTGAAGAGTAAGGGGGCAGGATTATGACAAAAAAATCTGGAGTTTGATCAAGCACTGACCTTAAAAGTTTTAGCTCGTCTGATATCTCAACGCTGTAGTATTGCCCAGGATTAAGGTTTCAAATTGTAGTAGCAGAAGTATTGTTAACATTATTTTGATATATTGTCATAAGCCATCAACTGGTGCAGTTTGTAATGATGTTATTTATCTGTTTTGCTATATTAAATAATTGTCTGTTGTGTTAACAGTATATTGTGTCTCTTTCTGGTTAGAGGTGTTGTATTTTATCTGTATTTTAAAGGCTAACTAGGCCATTCTCTTCATTAATTCTTTGCACACTGTAAGCCTGCTGTCACTTTGCCTCTGCCCGAGGACTACGGTTGAAAATTAGCTTGCAGCTATGTCTGGTTTGAACAATACATCTTATGTGCAATGTCCCCGTCAAATAAACAAATTAATAGAAGAGAAAATAAAATTGATTTAGCTGGAACCTCTCTTGCCATGACCCTGAATAAATGTTATTTATTTATTATAAATAAATTGTAGTATCTGTCTGTCATTGTGAACAAGTGAGACAGTTATATTCTTGGTTATTTTTTACTCAGCTGTAAAAAAAATCCCAAAAAATCAGTGAATGAAAAAAAGTTCAAACATTATTCTGTGGAGCCCGTCCCTGATGCAGGATTAGATTCAGTGATGGGTTATTGTGAAGCTGGAAAGCGGACAAGAAGGAATCAAAGACAGTGTAAACATTTTTGAAAGGTGCAGGAGTTATTGTAGGCCTTTGTGCCGAGTAAAAGTCTTCCACGAGTACAGGCTGTTCCTTGTATTGACAGTATGAAATGCTTGGCGCCATTATACAGTCGCTGGCACAACAAACTCTGAGCAATCTGTGGAGAAAATGTGGTGTACTTCTCACTTATGACCTTTTCTCTATGATATTCTGACAACAACAACCTGCTCCTCACCTGCTACACTGTGCTCACACGCCATTCACTTCAAGCGTTCAATTTGCTTATGTTATGTTAGTTTTTAAGAAGGTGATGTCTGTGAAATAAACATAGCAAAGGCAGGTTAAACATGGAAAAACAGAATATTGTTCAAGTTTATTTATTTCTCTGATTGAAATTAAATTGTGAAAAAATATGACACGGACTGATTACATGCAAGTCTTTCTTTGAGACGTAACTTTAGGGTTTCATCATTATCAACATTATAACAAATAAAGATATATCTCACTTTGTGTGCAGTGTGTCGGTCATGTATTAGTTTTACACTGTAAGTTGAATATTGTAATTTAAACCTGTAAATGGTAGAGTAGGCTGCTAAAGATAGTTAGAATCAGATGACCAAACAGACATATCAATTACATCCCTTTAATCAAACTAGTATGATTAAAAAGGATGTGATTGCATCCATCCAGCTCTGCACCGGGCTCTTCCTGTGAGACTGAGCTCCTTCAGTTCGCACAGATAGTTTGCACCACACCATTGAGCAGAGTGTACGGATGACTATGGCCAGGCTAAGTTTATGTTCTTGTAAAAATTGAAAAAATATCAGAATATGCAAAAACGTCACAGAAAACACAAGAAACAATGCACAAAATGTATAGACTGTTTATTATATGTGTCCTATTCTAGAAAAAACTAAAGTGATAGAATATTGAATCAACTATATGTACTCAAAGTCAACAAATAATCATTTATTTTATGTGTGTTTCATATGTGTTTACAAGTAGGCTAGAATACAATTGGAAGTCACAACTTTTATAACAATAACAAGTGCTTTGAATCTTACATCATTCATCAATGTTCATCCACGCAGATCATTTTCCTCAAATACATGAATTTGTCACGATTGATTTGATCATGTCCTTCTCCTCAGGTCTTCCTCTTCAGTCAATCCAGTGGCTGCAACTCACTAAAACAGTGAATTACATTGTGACTTGGACAAGAAAAAAATCTTTAGTGTAAAAAATATTTCACCAGTTCAGGCCTGGACTGACTTTGGCATTTATGGACATTTATTGCTTTTATCTGTTTTTATCTTAAATAAATGAACAAATCATTTAACAAGAAAACC